AAACTATCATAAAAACATGGTAGGTGAGGTCTCCTTTCCCTCCAAAAGAAAACCCTGGAAAAAAAACATAAAATCTGCTGTATTTTGGGCATATCCTAGAACCAGAAGTGACATGATATCACTTTCCATAGTGCTAGGAGGCCATGGGGGCAAGGTGAGATGGTTGACCATCTTAGCGTGGACCTAAAGAGGCACATAAATGGTCACAGGCCATACTTCTTGTTGCACAGGATCATAGTACACTGATTATTCCCTTAACATATGTCTTCCACAGTGGGCCTTAGATAGGCAGAATGTGAGTGGGTTGGTATGATTTACATTACAAAAGGCCAGATGGCAGCTTCTGATCTCTTTGGCTCATGCTCCTTTGAAGTGAGGACAAATTGCACATGCACTGCAGCTATGATCCCCTATGATATGTCTCTTCTAATTCTAAGGAAAATGAGTGTGTCTGCATATTTTAAACAAATCTGAATTTGGTGTTTCTTGTCATATCGAATCCTTGTCAAGTTTTCAGAGTCATTTTTGGGGACCAGAAATGTTCTCTGTAAAATGACTGAGGGCATTCCTAATGTGACAGTGAATAACATAGACCAAAACCAAATCAAAATACTCTTGAATCTCAGCAAGCCTAATAAATACTTTGGAATTCAAAAATATAGCTGTGTTAGTCTGTAGAATCAGTATGTAGAGAGATCTTGTAGCACCTTTGAGACTAACTGAAAAAATGAAGTTGGCAGCATGAGCTTTCATAGACTTCAGTCTACTTCCTCAGATGCATATAGGAATAAATCCACAATTTAGATTGGAAGAACATTTGCGGGGAGGGGTTGTTTGGTTATACATCCTCTTCCTCGCAGAACCATTTCATCAATCCTGTTTGGATCCCAATCCCACACCACAGCTGCTTTTAACTAAAAATAAGATCCATTTATAGGTTGGCCCTGTAACCATGTACTTTGCCCTTTAAGCAGGGATCAGGGGAGGAAATGAGAACACCTCTTGATGCAGTGTGGATGAGAAATCCTTTCTCATGTGTTATGTTATAATTATCTTAGACAGGGATAGTATTGAAATGAAATGTATTTGCTGTTTTTGCTCCCTGGATGACTTAAAAGATGAGGAGACTTTTGAGTCTGGTAAGTGTAATTCTTTTTGCAATGTTGATTGCTGATTGTACTTTTGCTAGTTATAAGAAGCTAAAAACCAAAAAAGGCACCCACTGCATGTGATTCAACAACTGTTCCCTCTTTAAAGTTGTGGGTGTATGAGTGTGGATGCCTAAAGTCATTTTACCACTACCTTCCCGGTGTTCTTTGAGCCAAAATCAGAAACTTTACTAACCATATTTAAGGCGTATTTGAGATAAACTGGATTTTCATTAGCAGAAGCGTTCAGTCCATTTTGAATTGCTCCTATACATATGGCAAAAATTGTTAGAACCATGTACGTGTCAGAGAGGACAGCTGGAAGGTAATGAGATTACATTACGTAAGTGTGATTGAAGGGCTAATCTACTTCATGGTACTTATTTCTCTCAATGAGGAAGGAGGAACCATTTTGACACTTGGATGACAGAATAAATTTCCACATTAAAAACAAAAGTAGGACAGGTTGGACATACTGAAGCATATCTGTTTGCAAATGGAGTAGGTTTTAAGCAACTGAGAATAACAATAAAAATTGTGAGCAACTGGTGAACTCTTTTTTTCATGCTAAACAGTGCTATTAAAAATCCTTACGAAGAATATCCCGATGGTTGCCCCCCATTATTCCTACTGTTCGAACAAATTCAGTAATGCATGATAATAGTGATCCAGAAATTCCAGAACATGTGGAATGTTTTCAGTGTGCTAGGTTCCATAGTGCTTAGAATAAGGGCAAATCTTCAAAAATTTAAAATGCTGGGAGAACAATAGTAAGGCAAGTGAGAACTACATAAGCTTTAGAGCAGGAATGGGGAAGCTTTGACCCACCAGATGTTTTGGACTTCAGCTCCCAGCAGCCTGAGCCAGCATGATCAATAGTAAAGGGATAATGGGGGGTACTTAACATTCCTGGTGAAATACTTATTGGATTTCATAAACTGACAAAACTTCTGGAGGAATAAAAGTTCCTCACTCTTGCTTTAATAATTCTTGGGGAGGAGAACTAGGAGACAAAGAGCACTTTCCCAGTAGACTACTATTATTGCGTGGTGGTTCCACTTGAATTCCCATGGCTGTCTCTTGTGGAATCCTCTTGGAGTTTCTAGTTTGCTTAGAGGTACCAGAGGAGGAGTCTCTGGTTGAGCATTTGAAAGGCCTCTCCCGCCACCGTCCATCCCAGGACTCCACATGATGGAAGCAGGCAGGGGGCCTTTTCACGCTACATGATTATAGCGTCATGTTTCCACTTTTACTGACATGGTTCCATTTACACTTCGGTGGTGGTGTGTGTCTTCAAGTCATTTCCAACTTATTTTGGCGTACCTAAGGTGAACTTATCATAGGGTCTTCATGGCAAGATTTGTTCAGAGGAGGTTTGCCATTGCCTTCTTCTGGGGCTGAGAGCATGTGACTTGCCCAAGGTCACCCAGTGGGCTTCATGACCAAGCAGGGAATCGAACCCTGCTCTCCAGAGTTGTAGTCCAATACTCCAACCACTAAGCCATGCTGGATCTCTGTTTGCACTTTAGGGAGGGCTATGTAGTATTCTCAGCAAGAGAGCTCTAGTGACTCATTAAACTACAAACCCCAGGTTTTCACGAGATGCAGCCATAGCAGTTCAAGTGGACTGTGAAGTATTATAGTTGTGTAGTGTAAATAGACACAAGGGTGAAAGCAGTGACTAGGCAAACAGGGAATGGAGTGGCATTTGGGGCAGAACAGGCACATTTCTTCAAAGGAGAAAACGGTGACTATACAGAATTGGGGTGTAATATTCTGGCCCCTGGTATGATGCTACACTAGAGTGCAAATTCATCAGTCATTGGGAAATGAAGATGAATATGTGTGATTGTTAGATGTTTTGAATGCTCTAGGGCAGGAGTAGGCAACCTTTCCCCTTTAAGGTCTGAGGGACTTCAGCTCCCAGAATCCCAGGAGCTATTGGCCAACATGGGACTATTGGCCAACATGGCTGAGGCTTCTGGGAGCTGAAGTCCCTTGGCCCTTAAAGGGGAAAGGTTGCCTACCCCTGCTCTAGGGGAAAAAGTAAGTAGTAGTTGTGAAAAACATCAAGTAATCTGTTCATTGTGCTGTATTACATCAGTACTCACAGTGCAAATTTTTAATCTGAGTATTATTTTTCTTAAATTTTGGTGTGACATACCAGAGGAGCTTAAAGAAGGTAACCTGAAACTTTCTCTCTCTTTAGCTTTAAAAAGTATTCTTAATTAAGAAAAGTTTTTAAAAAAGAGTAGGTTGTTGGATCATTTCTTTATGGCTAGTAACATTGGGGGCTATGCAAAAGAACACATTTATTTCCTTCTTTTAGTCTCATCTCCCAGATAAAATCATGTATAGGACAGCTGGGGAACCTCTACTTAGGGGAGAGTCTCATTCCTCTTTGAGAGTTAGATGCCATCAGGATATGGAGCCATGTTTCGGATGTAAGGACTAGCACTGTCATGATTGAATCTCCAGCCAAAGCACTGACCAGCCAGTACCTTAGCCAGGGAAGACAACCCAGCTTTACTTTATAGTGGAAATCCATGCACAGTGGTTATAGGAGTGAATATATGTGTGAGCTCATTACTTTTGCAATGTGACCTGCTCACCCCCGTTATACTGAATTAGAGACCCTTGGTCCATGTTGCCCAGTACTGTTAACACTGACTGGCAGTGGCTTTCCTGGCAGGAGTCTAACAGCATCTGGAGATGCCAGGAATTGAATCTAGGACATGTGAAGGATGGGTTCTACTATTGAACTATAAAACATATCCAGGAGTAGTTGTGTTGGCCATATAGCATAATATTGCTCCACATTCCCTGCTTCCTCATGTTTTAGGGAAGAGACAATATTATAATTTTTGATGCTTTCTATAATAAATTTGAAGAGTGGATAATAGTGATCAACCAGGTATTGTAATCTTAAATAGGAATCTGAGCCCTGTGGCTTCTCCAAAAATAACCATAGCACTGCTCTCCTCCCTCCACCACTGTAGAAAATTTCAGATGCTCCTCTTTGGTCTCTGGACCATATTGGGCAAACCAATTTCATAGCCATTCTGAAACTTGGTGGACTCTACATATTGAGATAACCTAATAGGCTGACCTAATAATGACTTTAGAAAACTAAGGATCAATCTGCTATTGTAAATGGTTGTAAAGAAGACAAAAGCTTTAAATTTGCTGTTGTGAAAAGCTTTTAATTATTATGGCCTCTTTTGAAAAGACCACTTGGGTTTAGTGGTACATGAGTTTCTTCTTTTCCTTCTGTTAGCATCATTATTGATCCAAACAATACTCATTTAAATATTTTATAATAATGGCCAGATAAAATGCTACAGTTCTTGTAAGCATTTTGCTTTTTCATTACTTTTTCTTGTGTTTCATATACTACTTTTTTCTTTCTTTTTTTTTTACATTACAGAAGAAGAAGAATTCAGTGGATCTGGTCAGCAGGTCTTCATTAGTACGTAGTTGCTGCCTTGTTGCTGGGCTGCCAATCTAGTTCAATTTTATATTTTAAAAATTTCAGATGTATTCATTTTGTGTTTCATTTCTAATATTCCTTACTCTCTCTTTACTATTGTTCTGTAGGCCTCCAGTAAGCCAGTCTTCTATAAAGTTTGTGTCTTTTATAGTTCTTTCATAGTAAACCATTTCTTTCAATAAGCTTCTAGCTCTCCTGACCCTGCTCTCCTGAGTAAAAATGGTGACATTTCTCCTGACTTTAAAAACCTTTGACTCATGGACAATACAGAAAGACTCATAAATCCATGTGAAATAATTGTAAATCACACTAATAATATTTATTGAAGGTTGATAATCAAATAGCTAAGAGATGTATGAACACTTCAGGATATCATTTATCCCCCAAAATAAATAAAAATAATGTCTGTAGTGGATTTAGTCTCTTGGATTTTTGTAATGGGTTTTAACATTCTGTAAAACCTCAGAATCCTTATCTAAACAAAATATGCCATTCAGTTTAAACAATTATTAGTAAACACTAGGTATCCCAGAGTTATGGGAGCATTTGTGAGGGAAGGCAGCATTGTTATTGTTGCAGATGGACCTGGCAGAATATCCTATGCTGGTGTTTCAGATTTCTGCTCAAGAACAGTAAGAGGTAAAGTCAGAATAGCATAACTGTTTCTTTAGGGAGGTAAGCATCATAGAAGAGAGAGAGAGAGTCCAGTTCATACTAGGCTGAGTGTTAGGGGTAGATTTATTGAGCAAAATCATTGAGACAAATTCATACACAGAAGGTCCAACAATAGCCCTGTCGCTACAGCCTCTATAGTGATAATTCTCACAAGTCACTTGTCCCAACTCTGAGTCACATGGTTATCTTAAATAAACATTTTTCTTTCTGTTACAGTTCTGTGTGTTAACAAAATGTTAAACCCTCCTGTGTTCATCTAAATAAGAGACAAAGGGGGGTTGCAGACTGCCAGAAATAGTGCAAATTGAGTTCACTTTTAGGGTTAGGGTTAGTGCTAGGGAATCATGGGAATTGTTTTTGTTCTGAGACATTGAGCCTTCTCTGTCAGAGAGCTCTAGTGCCACAATAAAATACAGTTCCCATGATTCCTTAGCCCTAACCCTAACCCTAAAAGTGGACTCAATTTGCACTATTTCTGGCAGTCTGCAACCCCCCAAAATCCACCAGCACGAGAAATGCATATGTGAGCTCACATGGCTGAATGGTTGCCCATACTAATATAATATAATATAATATAATATAATATAATATAATATAATATAATATAATATAAATAATGCTGTAGTCCAGACATGAGTTTTTTCACCTCATTGAGAATTGAACCAATAGCTCAACTCTCCATTCAGGGACAGTATACCAAGAATTGGACATATACAAAAACTAAATAAGCTACAATTTAGGGCTTCAGACTGTAAGCCGGCTTTGAATACAAAATAGTCTTTATCATCGTGATCTCTAAATTGTTGTTTCTGCTATAATAAGACACATTTTGGGGACCTCTAAAACTGGACACAGGTTAGAGCCTTAGTATGTCTTAATTAGCCCTGAGCAAATCTTTAAATGCCAGAGGCTTATAAGAACTTGTGTGTCTGCATGCTGAGTTGCCATAAAACCACTGGAAACAGGATAGCAAGGAAAAGGGTTCATGGTCTATTCCAGTTAATCTTTTCTTTTGCTCTTAACAGTAAGCTGTTCAACCAAATCCAGCATTCGGTAGCATGCATGGGACAAGATAGAGCAGGGCAACTGTGGAAATGTGGGAGAAAGAGGGTGACTCTGTCTAGGGTTCAAGGATTTAACAAAAGCAAATTCTGATCCTCCAGATGTTATTGGATTGCAACTCCCAGCAGCCCTTGCCCAATAGCTGCAGGTGAGGGATGATTAGAATTGCAGCTCTACAATAATAATACAATATTCTACATCAGGATCTGATGCAGAAGGGAAGGAACATCTGACATGCCAGGATGTTGTAGGATAGCCCTGCTTCCATCGGCTGGGGAATGTGTGACCCTCCAGATGTAGTTCCCAGCAGCCAGTGCTGAGTGATGAAGGCATTGTTACAACAGCTGGAGGGCCACACTTTTCCTAGCCCTGGGCTAAGTTGTCAATGCAGTCATCACTTTGAGTCAGTTACAGGTATTTCAAAGTCTGTACCTTTTTGCTTTCTTTAGCTGGCTTCCGTAGAAGTATGCGCTTATGCCGCAGGAAAGCTCGCAATAGTCATCTGCCATGTTATGCCCGATGTCCTGGTGGATGCTACAGTGCTGTAGCTGCACCATATGAGGAAGTAGTGAGATACCAGAGACTTCCCGGTGATAGAAATCGCTTGATTGTCCTAGTAGGTAAGTAGCAATCGCTTACCAGTACCCTGGTGCCTAAGAATGAAATGCAGTTGTGGTAGGTCTGAGCTCAGGGAAAATGTTGGAGGGTCTTATATTCATTTTCAAGAAGTGTATCTTCTCATAATAGCTGGAAAGGCAGGCAGGTAAGTTTGCCACTTCATTGGAATGTGTCTTTACAGTTCAGAGAAAAACCTTCTCAGTCTTCTCATATGTCTCAAGAGCCCTCAGTTCTCTATCATTCAGGAAATAAGTGACTCTTCTTCTGTAACAAATACAACATAATTATACTAGGGTATGTAGTCTTCTTCATTCATTCCTTTAACTGCTCATTTCTTGAAATATTCAGGTCCTTCCGGTGTTGGAGTAAATGAACTACGGCGGCGGCTTATTGGTATAAATCCTCATCACTTTCAAAGTGCAGTGCCACGTATGTGACCTTTTTACATTTGTACTTTTGATTCTAGCAGTGGAAGGAGAGAGAATGCCATTGTCAGCAAATCTTGTCTTGGACAGCCAATCTGCCTTGATCTATGATCAGTGTAGTTATGTTAAAGTTTAAAGTGGAGCACATAGCTGTGCTCCTGAAAAGAATCCTTTGTTAGGTCCCACAGACACTTTATATAGGTAACTGGCTTTTATATTATTTATATTCAAAGGAGCAAAGCT